GTAAAATCAAATGCTCAATCGAAAAGATCTCTGTTCGGTTTTGTTCAGCAAAATTAACTTTGTTATCAACCAATAAGACCGATTCTAAAAATACATGCAAGTTCCATCAAAACAGCGGAATAAGTTTTGCGAAGTCTTTGTGAACAGAACAATCTTAAGAGTAATTTCAAACTACTGTGATTCCATATTAATTATTAATGATAATTGCCTCAAATATAATCTAAGTTTTGATGAATTCAACTGGGAAACAATCAGATCGATACTTGTCCATCGAAGAAATTGTTTCTCGTCGTTGGCTAGATTGTTCGTTTACCATGTTCTCCAGAACCCTCACTCGTTCCTCCAACTGCTCTCGTCTGTCGCGTTCTTCATCAAGCATTCTGCATATTGCACCATTAGAATTCGTCAACATTTTTACATATTCTGACCAATTTCGTTGAAAATTTAAGCTGATCTAGCCTCCGAAATGTGAAATTTTTTTGAAAAAAAGCAACATTCACTCAAGTAAACTATGACAACTTCAAAAAAGTTTGACTGATCGAACGAGACAACGAACCTGGTCGCCAGGGCTCTAACAGTTTCTTCATCATGTAACGCTCGCCTTTCATCATCCAACAGCTGCATTAGCCGAGCATTTTCGCTTTCTAACGCCAGCCTCCAAGTTAGATTTTTTTCGGTTGCTATTAATTTTTCGGATTTTTTCGAGCATTTCTGATCGTAACGTTTCAAGTCCTCTTTTGTTTGATATTGAATCGCTAGCTTCATATCTGAACATTTCTTCATTAAAAATCCAATATGTTTGTTGCTATCATCCCTACAAAAAACAAAACTGTACGTTTCTTGTTTCATTATATTATATCTTTGAACGAAGGGAAGGAAAAAAATTGCGTTTCTCTTCTCAAGTAAGTCTGCTGTTTTCGCATAGGATTATTCAATTAGTTTAGGAAGATGAATTGTTTTTGATCGATTCTGAGCAATGTGATGTGGAAAAAACAAATTACTGAAAACGTGCGATAATTTAGCAATCGCTAAATTGCAAGATGCAGTCTGAGAATAGATAACAGAAACGGGCAAAAAGAGCACATTTGCACGTTATTCGGCACGTGATAATAATAGGCAGTGATAATTAGTGTTCTCATCACGTTCAACAATTCTGCGAATTGATCACAAAATTGGATTCATAAAAAACGATCACTCTTGATCTCTGTCGTTTCAATTTCTCCTATCCAGTTGGCCAATGGTGCGATATAATCTCAAGGATATATTTCAAATTGTTTGTGGTCTTTATTCTCGAAAAATATGCATTGATTTTTTGTTGTTGCTTTTATGATTCTCTTCCGTATGCTTCCAATATTGAGGGTTGGCGCCAATGTGAGATGGTATTTACGAATTCATTCGTTGTTTTCTAATACATGACTGAGAATTCTTTGAAGGAACCGACGCACTTTCTCTATATTTTTTTTTCAACAAATCGAAAAATTTCTCTCGCAGGGGAGTTGAAAAAAAGCTTTTCTGCTATCCCATATGACTTCACTTAGAGGGCAAATGTAAGAGCGAATAGTTTATTGTCCAGTTTTTTGTTTCCTGAGTCGATTAGCTCGTTAAAAACAAGCCAATAAAGTGGAAGAAGCAATAAATAAGATGAAAAAGCTGTTTATGCAATTGGAATGCAATGATTTCTTCTGACATATGCTTAATGATATTTTCCAATTGTTTTTCTAATTCGTTGCTTTAAGCCTGTTGTTTTCAGTTTGTTGTTTTATGAACTCCGCACAGTGCAATTCGGACACTTCATTTCCGATGTATTCAGGATTTGATTGAAGACTTACCATTGATTTACAAAACTCCCTTCAATGCACCCACCTATTCTCCCACCTGTTAATCTTTCGAATCAATGATTTTTCTATGTTCATCATCTTCAGTGCTTTGCTCACCACTACGGACTATCAATGACAACTACTGAAAATTACGAACACAGTGTTGTTTGTTGTATTGCAAAAGTGATGATGAGTGTTTAGATTAATTTATGCCCTTTCTTTATGTTTCAGTTGCGAAATGTCGTTTGTCGCTTGTCTGAGAGAGTGAATTCATTGTAAAACTAAGAAATAAGAAAGAACTCTCATTTGATAAATAGACAAGAACAAGAAACACAATATGAACAACTCGAACAGATTTGAGATGGTGATCGATTACAAATCGCCTATACACTCTTACCCGACATCCATTGTTCTGAACGAAGTTGATCGTACTCAGCGAATACATATTTGGTGCACGACAGTTGCCATATAAAACGTTCTCCTTCTTTATGCGACTAAATAAAAACGAAGAAATTTTTTAAACTAAGAAAGAGACATCATTTGAAATTTTCAAAAAGATATTCGTCTTTTGGGGTTGGTCATAAAAATATTGCGTTTTTCGATATAATGTAACAGCATTCCACTTGAATACGATTCGGTAATACAATGTCAGCGAAAAATGTCCAAAATTAGAAATGTAAAAAGTAAATGCAGCAGTTTCGTTGTCACTAAAGGATAGCTTTCGAAGTGATCTGATGATCAGCAGTGAGAGACTGAGAGGTTAGTTGGCTCAGGTATTTGTTTAACTCAGAAATGGAAAAGTCAGCAAATCACCCGATAAAACTGAACTGAACAATTCGAAAATAAACGAATAAACAAATGGACTTACTTGAACACTCATAGACTGGTTCAATTTCAGTGCTATTCGATTCGTCAAAGTTTTTGGTTTGTGACCAGGCCAAAGGTATATGAAACCAGGATATATGGCACACCAATATGTCTCCCATTTGTGTGACGATTTTGGTAGACACCAACTTGACTTTGATGCTCCTTTGCACATTAAGAATCCCTCAAATATGATTGATACCTTGCAATATCGTCCCATATATCTTTCATTCAGACTCATCAAAATTCTCGACTGAATGAATTCATCGAATATTTTTCGAATATTCATGTTACAGATGGCAACTATTTATTATAGTAAGGGACCAATTATACAGAACGTACTCGATATTTTCATCCTTCCTAATATCCCGTGATAATGCCTCAAACATGAACTACTTATCAAATCCTGAATCACTAATATCTTATCGATAATCGAATTGAATTTTTCTCGACGAAAATGTGAAATTTCCACATTCTTCATTCGTACGTTTTTGGCAAGCGCAATGAAAATCATTGGATTGAAACTGGATTGACAAATTATGTTATACGCACACGACTAAACACTCGTCTTTGCTCTGAAATGATAGCGAAATAACGGAATGATACAAAAATTCTGCAACTTCTATCGCATTATCTCACGATTACCATCTGGTTTTTATAACAAACAGAGGCCTCAGATCTGGTTCGCGCAACGGAAAGTTTTGTGACTCCTTGATTAAAGAAAAAATTGTTCCTTTTGAATCGCTCCCTTTTGTTTTTGTAGAGAAGCATCAGTGGAGACAATGTTAGTGTTGTGAATCGGTGTTTTTGGGTTGTATGCGGCTAACTTTTGATGAATGAATAGTACACGTAATTAGTGCAGTGGCATGGATACAAATATCTCCGAATGTAAACATGATATAGATTAATTATGTTTGTTTATCTACACTGTAATCAACTCAAAACATGAGTGCCTTAAATTGTTTGTCATTATTCTTAATTCTTCCACATGTAAATGCTCCAATTTTGTTCTTTTCAAAAAACTCATGCTTGCTTTTGGTCGTATAACGACAATACGAGATCATTATTTCAAGACATTTTCGAACATTCCCTTTCTTTGATCCATTTATAAAGGAGAAAAATCTCAATCAAAGCGTATTAGATAGAGCACGGCTGGCTCCTTAATGGCGAGTGCATTGAATGTTGAAAAGTCCTCATTATAGTGTTATACGTACGAATGAAAAAACATTATTATTATCGCTCAGTGGAGATGTGAAATCAGAAGTCAGCTATAACTATTACTATTCTCATGATTTCAGTCAATTGAATTTGTATGATTTTGAGGTGGATGTATGCAATCTGCTTCGGAATTCATTTAGCTAATTCGATTTGTAATTGATCTCCCACTGAGGAAGAAATTAGCCAACAGAGCTGCTACAAACAAGCAAATAAAAGAAAGAACAATTAAGGANATTGAATTTGTATGATTTTGAGGTGGATGTATGCAATCTGCTTCGGAATTCATTTAGCTAATTCGATTTGTAATTGATCTCGTACTGAGAAAGAAATTAGCCAACAGAGCTGCTACAAGCAAGCAAATAAAAGAAAGAACAATTAAGGAGTGATCCATAGAATCGAGTTAATGTTATCCACACTCAACACCCATTATTCACCGCTCTCTTTAATCACGTGTCTGTGTCTAACTTTACGCATTGTCAATAAATTAGCTAAATCAAAACAAGTGCGCGCATAGTTGCTGACTGGCATTCAGTCAATCAGCTGTCAAATTGCGATCATATCTCTTTCTGCAGATTTTCGTTAGCGATTCTTTGCATTATGCTGCATTGTTATATACCTTATCTACATTATGCAATGCACAACATTCATTTAAGACAAATTTCCCAATTGAGTTTTACTGAAAGCTCGAAAATTTGAACAGAAAACTGACAACTTCAAGGTGAAAGAATTACTTGATTATCTTCTCTCTCTAGCCATGCTTGAGCAATTAAGTATGTGGAATCGCTAGAGGCGGATAGTACTCGATGTGTGAGCGTGATTGATAAGCAATGGCAGTCAAGTGATTATTGAAGAATGAATGAAATTTATTGGGTGAGAATAAATCCTCTTGTATCGAAACAAGAAAATGAATATTGCGTGCAACAGACAACAAAAATTTCATTGAAACTGCGCATGTGCCATTCTTTTTTCAGCACTGTCACACGCATCATTCAAATCAGTTCTAATTTACCCAATCTCAGCAATTATCTAACTTGAAATTGTAACTACAATTTGAAACCAAACAATGTATTGAAACCAAGTTTCTCACCGATCACCATTCCAAGTTCTTTGATCTGCCAGATCAAATGTGATAAGTGTCTATGAGAGATTGAGAAGCCTTTGAGGACATTTGAGATTCGTAATCCGGCTAAATTCAAACACATACGGCTTATTGGCCTCTCTCACGTTAGATTTCAGATGTTACTACGAAAATCTCCCACATCAATCGAACTACGTGTTGTTCTTTTCAGCCACATCCCCATAAAATATCACAATTACCCTCTCATTGATAAACAAAGCAACATAGTTTCACTGCTATTTGAGGTAAACTGATTCGCTTTGAATTCATCCAATTTCAGTTGATTTTTGCAAATTACATCGGCTTACAATCGCAGAAACAAAATTCATCCTTATTCATAGATCAATCCCGAAATCCACCATTGTTCTTCAATTCATTTCTTATCCATCCACTTCCTATATCGGCTCTTCACAGTGACACTTAAGTAATTGAAGATGGATGCAGACATGTCATTAATCGAGTAAAGAAAAAAAAGATGAAACGACACGAAATTGAATGAATGAGAGATGGCTATGTGAAGAGCAAGAATTTTTTTGTTCCTATTTAAATTTTCGTTTTTGTGTTCGTATACGTAAATGTGCTCATAATTTATTTCAGATTCATGAGAATGACGACGTTCGATGAATCGATCTTGTACAACACAAAAAGAACACATTAAATTTCAGCAAACGACTCAATGAATGTGATCAGTTATATTTCCATTTGTATGCTACTAATCAGTAATTTTCGTAGGCATTATAACCGTAAGATACACACCAAAAAATGCGTACATTCACTTCTATAAACGGAATCAACCACATTCAAAAGGAATGATTGCTCATCAATTTTATTGCAGTCGCAATGAAACGTCGAGAAAAAATGTCATTTGGATTGAAGACTATTTGGAGACATCAAGTGGAGAATGACTCGTTAGAAAAATTCACCGTGTCAAATGATCATGCACAATTCTGTTTGCATTTTGAATGCCTAACATAGGTGAAACACCATAATAATTTGGGTAGAATGCGTACCTCAGCAATCAGATGCGAAACATATCGTTCACAACAACGATTCACAATTGGTTCCAGTTCCTTCCGATCCGGATACAACGATTGGCATAAGTCGATCAGATCACGGAGTGATACCGTCTCACTGCGGGTCAGTGCTGAAGTCAATCGGTGCGTTTGACTGCTTCGGGAACACCTGCACATATCGTTCTTCGTTTACTGTTTGAGACAGTCAAAAGGACCNATTGACTGTGAAATGTTGGATACCTGCTAAATTCCGGTATTTATGCTAATTCTGTTTTGGTTTTAAGCGAGGACTGTGCCTGGCTCGTTTATCGATCAAGGCTGACATTCGCTCCCAGTGGAACCTGTCAGCTGGTCTGCGTGATGTGAATCAATCGCTCAATCTCTCGTGATCACTAATTTCAAGACTCTCGCATTCACATAACCATGTATCCGGCTGTTTCGCAGTTAAACTTGATTTTGATTGACATTTTCTGTCGAAACAACCAACAACGAGTTCACCTATTGATAACATTTTAGTGAAAGAGCTGCATTTCACTGAAAGATTCCCACTCTTAAATAATCGCAAAACGATATGCGATGAAATTCTCGCATCGTCAAAAGAACTTTGCGAGTTCAATTGCACTTCCTATGCTCTCTCATCATTCTGAAAGTATTTGCTATCGACGCCTCCGTTTTAAAGTAACTGAGCAAAGATTAGTGTGAAATGCTTTCGTGGAATGCGAAAGTTTTCTGCGTGTTTCTCGCCGCTGAGATTTATTAGTGAGAAAATGTTCATTAGAGTAAAATGACTGAAACACTTTTGAAGCCGCTTTGATTGCGGGGAAAAAACTGCAATTTTACTCAGCCTATATATGTGTTTGTTTGCATTTTATGGAGCATCATAAATTTCAAAACTTCTTTGTGACATTCGTCAGCAAAATTTTAGCGATTTATGACTGTCCATTTGCCTAACCGTGTAAATATTTTTACTGATTATGAAACTGTTGATTTGTGATCAACACATTTACTATCAAAGGATTTTTTCCTCTTATCACTTTAAATTTTAATCAAAAATTAGACTGATAATTAGACTGATAATTTCGTGTGTCTTAACGATATCTGTCTGCACGATACTTCCGCAAAAGAAGTTAGCACTGTNAAAAAATATGCTACCTAGTACCATCTTATGTGGTGAATATGTAATATTCATGATCTAAAATAAGATCCACATTTAACTGTGTCATGAGACAAAAATAATTCGTCCAAATTTCAAAGCAATTCGTACAATAAAACTGATTCCTTTGGTTAGATACAAAAGGAATTCATGAGATGTCTCGCATTATGTATGAAAACTAAGGAACAAACAGAACTAATGTTCCTAGTATAATGTGTGATAAATGTTCAACTGAAATCACTATTGAATGAAGACACAATGAAAATTTGTCATAATGCCTTACTATCATATCTGCTGCGTCGATAGTGTAATGTGATTGAACTGTTGAATAGTAAGAAATCGTAAGAATAGTAATAAATAATGATAATATTAGTATCATCAAACAGAATACGAATAACAGTTTCTTAAGAAAGAAGGACAAGGATGAATGCAAAAAGGTGAATGTATCTAGACAGAACAATTATTTACGATTATCGTTAAAATTGCATGAATGAATGAGAATTACTTAGATGGAATTACGAAATCGCGGAAAGAAATAGATGATAATGATAACAAGAATGATTCAACATGAATGAAAATGATCTTCTTTCGAAAAATTCTTTTCACATACTCAATTTTTACCTCTCTTCATCGCTCGGAATCGTTTCGATACTTTATTGTTGAGACATTTTTTTTCACCATAATGTTTCTTTGCTTTTTTCAAAGGAGTATTTCCAGTTCGTGCATTGAAAATTGCGAGCTCAAGTACGTTTCAATTGAAACAACGAATGGACAAACGCCATTTTGATTGGATTTTAATGATATTAGAAAAG